TGACGGAGCATCCTAAGAGCGTCCCAAACGGACCAACCACATGGACGTGATGGACCGCATCTGTTGACGACTTTGTGGCACTTTGTGGGGATGGTCCGAGGAAACAGGCCTCTGGAACCTCTTAATTTCCATATCTGAACCAACTATAGGGGAAGGCCGACCCAAACCATCGAAACTAGCTCCAATCCTCACATGACAGAAACCCTGATCACCAACCAGGACCCCCGTTTCGTGAACCGGGGGCGGGTGCACATCGTGTCGCTCGATTCCGGCACCCGCCGACTGGAACGCCACCAAGGACTGAACTCACCACAGTCCCAAGAACCGTTCCGTGAAACTCGATGCCACTTCCTCCATGCATCTTATACACATATCTAGCTATACACCTGTTCCCGTGAGTGAGTTTTCCGCATGCGTCTTCCAACTTCTTCCAACTGTCCTTCTTGGCTGCAATGCCCATCAACCGCAGGAAGTTCGGGAAGTCAATCGTTTCCTCCGTCGTCGTGGGAAGACGATGCACGTGTTCAAAACACTAGGGAGTTCGTGGAAAGGTGGCGCATGTTGCCCATGTTTGCGCCTGTGCTGCTGGAAAAAGTAACAGAAAGAAACTTGGGGTTAGGTTATTAGGTATCAGCAGCTAAGGCCATCTCTGAGTCCATATTTGAACATCCATGTTCACTGGAGATGTGAACCGGGATTTGCGGCTGCCAAAGGTCGAGAACTGTATTTGTGGCCTGTACCCCTGGTGCACCCTGGCTGAACCAAATGCACAAATGCAATGTAAATCAACCTGACAGCAATCTGACAAACCCCATGTTGGGAAATGGCAATCTGACAGTCCTCATTTTGTGGAGTGTATTCACCCAGGTTGGTTGGGTCCAGTAGGACACACTGAAAGTACAATTGACACACCGGAAACATTTGGCGCAGGTCGGCACTGGAAATTGCCAGGCAACATGGCTGAACAAATACAGTAATTCGAATGTGATTGGGCTTGCCGCAGGTCTATTCTTGGTCATTTGCATGAGTTACCTGGTGCATAAGAACAACCTCCTGGTTGTAAACTTCAACCACTGGACCACTTCCCCTCCAGGAAGGCCTACTTCAACGGCAGGGCCCTTCCTCCCACACGAACCATGGCTACATGGCGCCACCCTGGCGCTCTGTGGCGCCTGGGCACCTTCCATCGCTTCCAGCGCCTGGCGATCGCCAGCGGGGGAGAATATATAAGCAAAGATGCTTTCAATCATGCAATGTGTTCGGTTTTTCCATGGTATCGCATGGCTACACCTCCCCAAACTAGCAAAGCCTCCACGAAATCTATAGTCTATAGTCCCCTCTCAGGGAGCGGGCACACCTATCTTGTTTTAGTAGGGCCCTCTCCCAACAATTCAACTTGACAAGAGGAGGCGCTCTCAGACCATTTCTATGTATCAACCACAGGACAATGAGACAATGACAAGAAAGTCGCAAATGCCAATCAATAAGCAGGACAGCAGGACCAAAAATATAGCATCGTAACGCAGCTTACGACTTTTTGCCTCTCCCAACCTTCGATGTGGACCAGTCGCAGAATGAACTGCACTAGCAGCGAGATAGAAATCTCAACAGACTTCTTCGCCATGGTTGGGCCACATCAACACACTAGAGAGCCAGCACAAGCTTTGAGCTGTCGGCTGACTCCATCTCCGCACAAATTCACGGTTGCAGCCTGGTTTGGGCAAACCCAGGCAAACCGGGAAGGCTGACTCCAAACTTCAAAGTGATGGTTTCCAACCTCCCAAATGCAACCGTCGCCAATTTACCCTGTCCGCGCAGCGCTTTTTCGCAAACTACAGGAGCAGGGTGAGCAAAACATTCCAGGGGAACCGCGAGAGCCAAGAGCCAAAGCTTTCTTTTGACCCTCTCTGGCACACCCGACAAGGATTGAACAGGCACCGTAGCTGCCACTGTAGCTTGGAAGGTGGAAGGCTCCACAAACCCCTGAGTCTTGAGAAGTCTTCTTCCTCCAAAACAAAACGCCCCCACAATACGGGTCTTCTCGTGAGCCTCTAACGGCCTGCCAAACTACTGTTGTTCGAACCGTTGGCAAGTGAGCAAGCAGTCCAAATGACCCTGTCACTGACAGGGGAAACTCGAGCGTGGGTCAAAAACCACATAAACCCCAAATGCATGAGATCGCTTCAGCATGGTGAAAGCTTTTTTCGTGAACCAGGGCGTGCGAGGGTTTCTGACCCACACCCACTCAACATAAACAAAAGGGCGAGTTCTTCGCCCAGCACGGCCTGGAGTGAGTGGGGCTTGCAGTTGATCTTTCTCACCCGGTCCATTGACCCTTCTTCCAAAACGCATGAAAGTGGAGAATGCATGAAAAATACCTTGCTTGCAAAGGAAAATCGTCATCGTTTTTCACTTCGATTCTTACAGCACTACACTACACACATGCATGCACTGAGACTATTAATCTCCAACCCAGCCCGAACAAGCTCCAAGGACCGTTGTGTAGACCCAAAAGTGGTTTACACCATTTCGCTCTGGTTCACCTCAGCTGGTGCGGAACTCTCTGGTGCAGCACTCGTTGCCTTCTCGGGGTCCGCCTTGCCATCTTGACTGGCAGAGCTCCTGGTGAGAGGAAACGAGTCGCTTTCGTGGCACGAGGTTGTATGCATATGCCTCCCTTTATGGACCCTGCTTATGTTTGGTTTTTGGATCACGAAACTGGCCACAGAACTGGTGGCAATGGGTTCGTTGTCGGATTTCGACAGACGGATGAATTTTTCATTTCAAGCAACACAGCGAACTACAGTCGGTGGTTGTATCCTTGGAGATCTGGTTGGTTTTGACACGATCAGATCAGAACTGCACTTCAGCATGGCAAGAAAAGAACCGACATGCTCAAAAAGAGAGATGGAAGCTTGACCAGGCACGCCATGTTTTTCGACACGTAACGATAAGTTTGTGGTAATGTAAAGTTGACTTGTTCATATTTCACACACGTGGACACGGTTTGTTCGATGTAGTTTGTTTTCATACGCACGTATCTCACACGGGAAGGTGGACTTAAATTTACATGCGAACAGGACATTGTTCTTTTGATGACACGGTGTATGTCCAAAGTTTCTTACATGAAGGCCCAAGAAGTAGTGACCGTTGCTGTTTCGGTTGGGGACTAATGGTGTTGCAGGTATCTGCAAAAAGCAGTGCATGGAAATTGGTCTCGCAAGCATCCTGGAGTGAAGACGCCCAAATACTGCCTGGTTCCACAATTGCATCTTGGGGGGTGTCGTGTCGGGCGTGTGGCTTAATCCTTGTGAAGCCTCTTAAGCCCAAGTTGATCCCACCGAAGCTTGTTTACATACAGTAGGTAGATAATTAGCTAGCTAGATATACACTGATGAGTCACAGGATTTGATGCAAATGTCGATATGTATGTACATCAACTGTACGATCTGTATGAAGCCTTGACATCTGTGAGCAAAGGCAGACCACCGGTGGAGAATTGAGCAGATGTTTGGGGATCCAAGCTGCACAAGGTTCCGCCCTCTTCGATCATTTGTGGAGACAGGGCGACAGCCTTCAAGACGCAAAACAGGACTTGAAAACCAAAAGGTTTGGATTCGTGGAAGTTGCTCATGGCCGCCAACAGTCTTCAATCAAAGCTATAAAAGAAAGATGCACGGCCGCTGGGTCACTGCAGGCACCCTGCAACTTGACAGCTTGTGGCAAGGTTTGTGTAGGTTCCAACCTACATGGGCACCTGCAGCAGAAAGTGTTGAACTAAGAAAACACTGGGATCTGGAATTTTTGGAAAGCTCGTGGCAATGGAAGCACCTGGTTTGCATGCCCCCCTTGATGGGACCCGTGGATGGGACCGGTGGACTGAAGCAGAGAAACCAGACCGATGCGTGCAGTTCCCCTTGTGACCTTCCAGTGGAACAACTCCTTTTCACAACTTTCTTGACGCTCCTACCCACCACAAAAGCATTCGACTTGGGAAAACATGATATGATATTGGATGCACCGGCTACAAACTTCCAAGAAACATCTATAAAAATAAATGCGAATGAAAACTCAACGTTCAACGGACCAATTAGTAAAGGCCCCCCCCCCCTCCCCTCAAACAAACAGGAGACCCTCTATAATAAACTATCACCAAAACAAATCTGGATTCCTGTGAGAATTCCTTTTTGTAATTGATTGTAGTATTCATTTTCCTTTCATAGATTGTATTCAGCTTCCTTTCTCAGGTGCTTTGTAATTGTTCTCAGCAATCCTTTTGCTTTGCAGCCTCAGATCTTCAGCTCAAGAGAAGCCCCAAGCTTTCAGCTTCTTCCTCAGCTTCCATGGCTTCCTAAGTAAAAGAAGATTCCATGAGCAGTTTTTTTACGTTTTTTCACAATTGAGAACCCAAAAACAAATCCATTATTGAGGATCAGGTGCCTTCCTGGTCTACTACCTTGAAAATTTGTTTAGGAGCAATGTTTTATAAAGGGCTTAATTAGGAATTAGTGGTTTTGGTCAGCTGTCAGTATTGAAGAAACCTAGAGAAAGCTAAATCAGCTGATGAATCATAATCATTGGCCTCAGAAGGAATTCAAACCTTTGTTAATTAGGTTTACAATTTAAAAATTTAGGGTCCCCCCAAAAAATTAGCATTATTCAGGACCCATTTTTCAATCATGGGGGATCATGGGGGTCTGAATAAATTTGGAAAAATTTAGCATTATAGAGGACCCCTTTACTAATCAGGATCCAACATCACACAAAAATCAACCGCGCACACAGTTGCAGGGCGGCGTATCAAACACTGCCCTTGTTTTTCCTACCACAGTTGCTGTTAAGAGTGGAGATTCTCAGCAAACGCCTGGCCCTGGTTCAGGAAGACTGAAAAATCCTCATTCCACCAAACCGTGATTGTTGGATAGAGAGCAAGTGAAGACCCCTTGCAAAAAGGATAGAAGACTATGTAAGATTATCTAAGACTCATTAATTGAATGCACTCATACTTCTGTGGTGATCTGAGATCTGCTCGGGTGTTTGACACACTCGCTCCGGCTTCCCACCCCGCGGTTCGTTGTTCTCCTGATCGACCGTGATCCGGTGGCAATGCGGCGGGAGGAACTCTTGCGAATGCTGCCGTTCTGGCTGACGACCATGTTCAAGTCGTCGGCCAAAATGTTCATTGCACGGGTGATGGTGCCAATGTCATAGACTGAGAGCTTGCCCAAGTCGTCGATGAATTTATCCTCCTTGCCCTGTCCATCTTCCTTGAGAAAGGTCGCCACATCAAGGAGACTTTGAAAGACATCCTTCTCTTCTGGGACCTTGCCAAGGTTCATGACGCGCAGTTCCTTTGAGCTACCCAGCGCTGAACGGTAGACGAGAGCAGTTAGGCCAAGCATCACCATGCCTCCAAGGATGGCCACCATCAAAGAAGAGATGACGGTTCCGAACGTCGCCAGAACACGTGTGGCTTCTTCCCCACTGCTGTCCGCATATCCAAGAGACCCAGCCAACAGCATCACAAGGAGCGACACTGAGACTCCGTCGACCAGGTTCAGGATTGGAGATTTCCAAGGCAGGAACCACAACTGAAGGCAAAGAGACCCAAGCAAGATCATGTGCATCAGCGTAAGTTGCCTGAGCTGCACAGTCTTCCCTCTCTCAACGGTTTCACGTGCGATCAGACGGTGGTGTGAGACTCTCTTCGTATGATTCATAAACCGAAAACATCTTCATTGCGCAGTGGAGTTGCAAGCTGGGCATGTTGGTCGCTATCACACCTGGCATGGACAGCAAGGGTCCTCGAGCCAAGAGGACCAAACCAAAATACCACACGTTGGGCCGGAAGCGGAAGATCAAGAAACGAATGGCGGCCAGCCTGGCTTGAAAGTTGAAGCATGAGTGGGAAAAAAAGTTTCAGTCAAGCGCAGTAGATACCGTGCAAAACAACAACATCTAAGTGTTGATCTACGTTTGAAGAAAGGCTGTCGCTTTACATGCAGCAACATGGCGATGTGAAGCACCTCGTGGTTTCTACACATCTTTGGTATTGTTGTGTGCTACGTTGATCTGCTGCGCTTGGGGGGATGTCAGGGCGTGGTATCAAATGCACTGGTGTCCGGTGCTGTGAGTGCTATGGTGTCCGGTGTTGTGACACATGCGTCACCTTGCACTTCATTTCCACTCGGCCAATGCACAGTACCTTCGCACACGGTCAACATGGCCAAAGCTGCTTGTTTGTGAATCTTGTGTTTCAGCTGCTGGCCATGCAGATCATGCAGTTGATCGAATCCAGTCCGTGTCTAAAAAGAGAAGAAAGAAAAACACGCGCAACTTGGCAACAAAAAATCGGTTCACACCTTGCAAGGCCGAACTCTTGCGGGTACTTTTCTTAAAAAAACAAGATGGGACCCACGAACCCGTATGCAAACACGTGCCCACTAATACAGTTTTTGACACTCTTGTAGGAGACACTTGTGTGGGACACCCTTGTAGGACACATTCCTGTCGGAATCCTTTGTGGGACACTCTTGTGCACTCTTGTCGGCCATTCTTGTAGGACACTCTTGTGAGACACTTCAAGTCTGCAAAGCGAGCGTTTCGTACAAGACTTCTTCAAAAACTCACATGTCGAGTCTGCAAAATGTGACTACGCAGAAAAGTGCGGATCTCACCAAATGCTGCACCTGCGCAGTGAAATCATTGTCCACACTTCAACATCTTACGTTTCCACACGATTCCTCGCTATTTCACACGAATCTGACACGTCACCCTTCCATCCAAAACCCTCTCCAAAAGCTTCCCCCAATGGCAGCGCCTTAGCGACCTACCGCGAACGGCGGCGGACGGTTGACAACGGTTGCGGTCGCTCAAACAACGAGTCGCGAACAAGGCTCTACCCCCAGACCCCCGAGGTTTGACGAGAACCCTTCGCTACATCGGAAGAGTTAGGGCGGTTCCGCGCGGAAACCCTGGGCCTTGGTTTGCCTGACCATTTTGGTGCTTGATATGCAGCGTAGCAAGCTGCTGTGAAGAAGGTGAAGGCCAGAATGAGCACGAACACCCCAAAGACCCGCATGATCACCTTGGTCATGCTGTGCCAATGAATGATGTTGGAGGTGAGATGATGGGATGATTTGGATAAAAAACTATGGTTGCAAAACATTGTTGTCTCACTCCAAAGAGCGTGCTCATCTGTGCCACAGAATACATTCGGGTACTTCAAGATACTCGCTTGACCGGTAGGATGTCTGTAGCACATGAAAGGCATGAGGCCGACATTGCACATGGTCGTGAAGCCGACCTGCAAGAACTGTCCCGTGGTGCTGATGGTTTTGTTCTTCTCCCACGCGAGCTTGCGGCGATTCAGAATTGGAATGAAGTTCGTGAGCAAACCCACAAGGGGCAACGCAAGAACCACAATCCAAAAGAACGAGGCCGTGCTGACGTACCGGGCGACATTGCTTCCAGCAGCACAACTAAAGCCAAGAGCATCAAGGTTGAAGGTAAAGATTGAGGCAAAGCTCAGGATTGCTTCCAAGCCAGCTGGCCATGGAACAGCAACTGTGTTCAAGACACCCAAGTTCTGGAATAAGGCCACAAGCATTCCCAAGGCTGCTGTGGTGGACATCATCACACTGGCCTTCGCCGTATAGCTGGATGTCAGCATATAGTAAGAGCCACAGACTCCAAGCACAACCATAGTCACCGAGAAGGCCCATGCAACCGGGACCGCTCCACAAGGCTCACATTGGTCGGAACCCCAGAAATGTCCATCAGCGCAGTCGCCACAAGTCAAACCTTCACGATCCCCGAAGCATTGACCGGGGGAGCCACCGGGGCAAAAGAGCTCCGCGGTACATTTGTAAGTGTCAAGAGGTACGAGTGGATTGCCTCAGCGCAGCCCGCGGTACGTCAACAACCAAGTCAAAGTGAACGGCCTTTGGGATCACCAACCTTATGTTTCTACAGGTGGGTTCTAAAAGTCCTGCTAAATACTGGGGCGTGTTGGAGGGTTCAAGAGCGTATACGAACTCCAAACATCTCCAAACCTTGTTGAAGCAAATGCAGCGCGCTAAAGAAGCCTTTCTTCACAAAAGGGCCCCTTATGTCGGTCGTTCCTTGGGCTGCTACAAGCATCGCAACGGTGCTTCCCTTGGGGCAATGCATGCTTTCCTCACTGCAATCCTCACAAGTGGAGAGCTGCTCGATTTTCCCTGCCTGGCACACGCAATCTGCCAACGATGACGCGCCCAAGAGCAGGGTTGTTCGGGAAGCATCACAAGGGATACATGAAGTCTGAGCTGTATCCGGTTGATACTCTCCTTCGTTGCAGGGAGTGCATGAGATGCTTCCAAACATGCTCGCCGAAGTGCCCTTTGGGCACGGTTCACATTTGGTGGAGTAAGTGTTCGATTGGCTGTAGCCAGGAGGACATTGCTTGCATTGGAAAGTCCTTCCCTCATCATCAATGAGCTCCTCAGATGCAGTTCCTGCTTGGCACAGGCCGCATCCAACGGCAAGTGTCCTGTTGGGCACAAAAGCTCCGGAGGCGTCAACCAACCCGAAGCCTTCGTAGCAGCTGGTCAGCTTTGGCTTCCAGGCTGACCACCTTGATAAGGGAAACGGGAAAGCTGGGTAGGTTTGGGTTGACGTTTCATCGGAAAATGCGCAACCATCATGAACCACCTATCTTCCGTTATTCCATGTCATTCCGCATGTCTACAGGGCCCAAGTTTGTGATAGGAGGTCCAAAGATGAAAACCAATCGAGGACTATCGAGGGCGGATTATTGGCTAAGTATCAGTATACGGTTCATTGTAGAAGAAACCTGGCGGAAAACGAGCCGCCCGTTGATCCTTGCCTGGCTCGATTGTTTCGAATCCACTTGCAGGAAACATTGTAGGCTGAGCCTGTCGCATCAAACTCCAAGAGAAGATTTTGCACTTCCGGCAGCTCAAAGTTGATGTTGGCTACGAACCTTGCAACGTGGTGGGAAGTTCACCATGAAGATGGAACATTCAGCCAGTGGTTTAGATGCCAGGCAGATCAGCAAACAACGGAACAGTGACACAAGTATGTGAAAAGCCTGTTAAATGTTGCTGCGAAGGAACTCTCGAACCCGGCCGGCCTTGGATTGCAAGTTGTTGCTGACCATCTTGGACACATAGCTTCCTTGACCTCCTGTCTTCTTGTCTCCAGCAAGCCACTCATTGGCACTGTGACGAGCAAAAAGCAGCTGTTCTGGCAACATTTGAATGAAGGTCGAATCTGGAACCCACCAGTAATGTAGACACTGGACAGTCCGCACATGCTTCAAGAACAACGACCACCCGCCCGAGACTCCGAGAGCCGTTGGCATTCCGTAGGCCGTGGACCATTGCATCATGGGCTGCGCTTTCCACCCGGTCCCGGCCGTGAAGACAGGGATACACGTGGAGGCATTGGCCCGACATGCAGGGGCATACCACCAGCGGTCGTTTGTACACTTGGCAACAAATGTGCCATCTGGTTGGCTGACGACCCCGTCATAGTCGCCTGAATACTTGGCATAGTCCGACATTTGGTTCCGGTCGCTCAGGTCGGTATCACTGCAGAGCGCCAACTCTGACAAGTTCACATCGTGGATGGAACCAAAATATTTCCTGACACTTGCATGATTGGGGTCAATGGATAATTAGACAGTCACAAAAAGAGTGAAAGTCAAGGAAATCATCCTTTCAGCAGACCAGTCTCTTTGGATCATGATGCGAAGTGTTGTAACCTCCGCTCGGGGAGCTGTCAAAGTCAGAAAAAAAAACATCAGACAGAAAACATTTCACAATTCACGTACGAAAGCTCTGTTCAGCAAGTCTAACCAAGCAAGCAGGTGTCAGACGTCTTCCCGGGCAAAACATGGCACAGTGTTCTGTGTTCGCTTCCGTTCCACTTCTAAGGGTATGCCTTGTGATGAGTCTACATAAAGCACGCCTGATTGTCGCTTTTTGCCCGATGCTTGGCATTCGCTGCCCAATAACACAAATACTGAAAGACAAGCAGTTACTATTGGCGTGGGGGGTCGCTTTCCAGGAATCTGTTTTGAGAAAGGAGGCAGCACTGAGACGAGCAAAGTAGCTCTTGTAGAAGTCCAGAGCAAGACCGGATTCGCTGTAGGCTGCATTGAGAATAGCCTGGCTCACGTACATGGATTCTTCGCCAACATATCCCATGCTCCCCAAATCCTCCGCGGCAAGTCTTGGATACTCCTTGGCGAATTGATTCTGGGTAGAAGCATAGCTTCCAATCCAGGAGTCCACGCTGACATGAATCGTTGTTTCTTGGGTGCCACATTTCCTGTTGACTTTGTCGTTGAAGTCGGTACATCCTGCCAAAGCGAAGACCGGAGAACCTCCATTCCCACCCACTGTAGGATCTACATGAGCGTGGAAACCAAGCACCTCACGAATCATTACTGCTGTCATCTCGGCAAGAAGGGTGGAAGATGCCCAAGCCATTTCAAAGACTCCGATTGGAATGTTGTTGCCACCATCATCCTGATTGCAGGGTTCAAACACTGGCAAGTGATGTTTCTTCAGGAAACTTCAAGGGTGGAGAAGTTGGCCATTTGGCCCATGTGCATGTGCGCTTTCTTGCATGATAGAAAGGACTCAGCTCCGTAGATGCCTTAGGACAATCAAAGGAATCAAGCAAAGTTCAAGAAACATCCTCAGATTCACTGAACCTGCCTGGATGTATGCTCGCTCACTTTCTGCCACACCATCATCGAGGCAAAGCTCGGCGCCGAAGCCCACCATAAGTCCTAGAAGCACCACTGCCAAGCGCAGCATTGCTCCAAGTAGCTTCGAAACTTGTGGGGATAACGGGAATCCGAGCTCGAGAGCCAAATGCTCAGAAGTCTCCAGCTCGCACTGCTCCCAGCTGCTAACATCATGTCGCTTAGACAAACAGGCAGACAAGACAAGACAAGACAAGGACAAAGACCAAGACAAAGACAAAGACAAAACAGCAACAAACCAAAAACACAATGTGAAGCCAGACTCCGTTTTCGTTAGCCTGGCCTTTTATCATCTCCATTTTTTTCTGCTGAGTGATTCCCCACGATTCGCCCAAGCATGGCCAAATGACAACGGCCAAGCATTCTGCCGTTGCTGGCCTCATTGACGCCCTCCTTCTGCGCTTTCGTCGCCTTCAGCTCGGTGAGAATCTCCGTGACCTCGACGTCGCTCGCGCGGTCGGGCGTTGGTCGTTGGCAACTGGTGTCTCAGGACGTGGTCCTTCTAAAAACCATCCATAATCCATCCATAATTCATCATAATCCTCCCTTTTTCATCCATTTTCTCAGCTTTGATCATTCCTCCCTCCCTCCCTTGCACGGATCGCCCACACCTTGGGTGGCCGCCCGCCCGCCTTCGCTGGCGCTCGCCACGTCCGCACGGGCACCGCACGCACGGGCACCGCACGTCTGGGCACCGCGCCTGATGATCCGAGAGCACTCCACATCCGTCCACTTCGGCCTTCACAAAGAACTCTCGGAATTGTGCCACCTCGACCAGCGAAGCGGAAGGGCTTCAGAGAGCAAGCTGAGAGAGCGAACGGTCACGGGAGTCGAGAACGGTGAATTTTGTGGTTCTCCCTTGATCCGGGAATGACCTGTCCAAAGGGCATTGTTGAAAGCATGATGTAAATGATGGGTGAATAATCATATGATGAAAGCCGCTTCATGGTTTATCCAGCATACATGCAGGCTGCAAGTCTAAGTGAAGGGCATGGAATGGAGACGAAGACAAATTGCGAACATCAAACAGCGAAACACAGGGTCGTCCACCTCTATGTCGGTCGGAGGGTGTATAAATGTTCTGCAAAGCCCTCCTCATAGCTCCTCCTTGCATTGGAAGAAGTTGAGTCTGTCCAACATGTTCTCGAAATCTGTGATTCTACCAAAGAGATCCAAAGAGGGCTTAACAGACTTAACATAGCTGACGTAGCTTAAACTTGCTGGCCTAAACTTGAGAAAAAAATATACAGCAAAGTGTCTTCATCTGGTTTTCTTATGTTTCCTTTCTGCAATCTAAAGAGCTTGCCCATACTTGCCCGTTGGAGAGTTAATCACCCCACCTGGTCTCAATTTCCTTACCCACTCTTACTTGCTCTACCTTACCCTTCAGCTTCCCCGTCTTCAGGGCAAAAAAGGTACGATCATAAACCCCGCGTCCCAGGGTTTCCCAGAAAGCGTCTGCCCCTCGCACCTGTGCAGTGGTGAACCCAGCCTCAACGAGCAAGTTGGGCGGCACCGCCGTTGGGAGAGTGGTGCGACCAGTGGCAGAATCCAACCTCTAAGGGGATGGATGAGGCATGGGCTTCATGGCCTATAGGACTCGACAGGACACTCAGAGTCACTCTGAGACGAGAAATTGAAAGGACAATTGCCAACAAAACTAACTGGTATACATGAGGTCATCATGACTGTATTTCCATCTCTTTTCCATTGTTTCGTTGTTTCGCGAACTTCAGTCAACTCGACTTGTATACCAGAGTATACCACACGTTTGGAGCTACAGCCCTCAGTGATTTGGAGTTCCCACCCTGAGAGTGCAAGGCCCCTGGCATCTTGGATGATCTCCTCCTCCAGTGCCCACGCTTCCTGCAGCACATGCAAGACAAACAACTGTCTCAGGCGGGCCAACCCAGTAATGGAATTGGTTGGAACAAAAGTGTGGTCTACGTACAGTAACCCCATGTTCGAGCCACAATGATCAAACATATGAGTAGTGTCTATAAATCCTAAATTCCTACAGCAATGTATTATATATAATCTATGTATACACACACACACTCACACACACACATATATATATAATAATGTATAATATATATATATATATATACGATATATACACGGTAGAAATATGTAGAATCTATGAAAACACCGTCACACCAACACGATATCTCCACCAACACCGTCACACCTCCTCACTTCCACCACTTCCACGGTCCACATAATTAGGTCCTTCAATGCTACAGGAGGCCTCCAACTTCCTTTTCTCTCCTTGGAAGCCTCAATTCTACAGATTGCAAAGGATGTCCATTCTTCTTTCTTTCTTTGGCTGTCCGGACAGGGCCGGACAGGCGCACCGCCCTCCCCAGAGCCGCGGCATGCTAATCGTGGCCTCTGCCCGTGCGTCGTCGTACCTGGAGGAGGATCCAAACCCTTCACACCTACAAATGTATGTGTCCAAAGATGTCCTAACCCCTCGTCATGATGAGTAGAGCCTTGGAAAGAGGCAGTGTGATTAGTTCCCTGCACTAGCACAATGGTGACGATGGGCTTGCCTAGACTTTCATGTCAATGATGGAAAGTCCTTCGCCACCTATGGAGCCGCCAAACGTATCACCATCAACCTATGAGAGGAGACAAGCCACGCTTTCTTGTTTCGCCGCCCAACTGCTCAATTCACCGGATCCCCCCCCCCCCTCGTCGCGTTGATGGATGACCACACTCGTCGCGCTCCGCTCGCTGAGCGTCGGACAAGCGGACCACCCAGAACATTTCCGACAGACCGAGGCTGCCGTCCACGAAGTTCTCCTGGTCAGCGGCGGGTCGTTTTTTCTCCGAGATCGTCGTTTTCACAGAGCCTCTGCCGATCTGTAAGGATTCGAACTTGAGACCTCTAAGGATGCCCTAAGGATGCGATGTGTATGCGATGTGTTTGATCTTCGTCCACTTTTCTGGATTTGGTGGATGGACGATGGATGTGGATTGAAGCTGCAGCCCTCTGGGCAAAGAGGGTAGACCACGACATTCATGTAGAGAGGCTTCAACGCTTCAAGAACCCCCTGGTGAGTTCCGGAGCGCCGCGATGAGATGTCTCTTCATCGTAGGGTTTTCCTTCATTTCTGCGTCCAGCTACATCCCATCAGTTGAATGAACTGATACAAGACGCCCTCTTGTTGAACCAAAGAACTCCTTCCAGGCCTCCGATTACATGGAAACACCACATTTGTTCAGTTTGTCCTCAAGAAGGCGCCATCACTAACACCCGAAGGCATTCCCCCGCCCATGTCCATTCCAAACGATGACGCTGTCGCTGGAAGCTCCTGGATCAGCTCTTGAATCTTCAGCTGGGCCGGGGCCGAATGCTTGGCGCTCTTGAAGAGATCGTTCGACATGAAGCGCCTCAGCCGGGGCCGAAGCCGCGAAGATCGCCAACCCGCCGAACGGGGGAACAACGGCCGGGTCACTGCCACGGCCGCGAAACTCCACGTCAAAGACACTTCATCTCCCAAACACGTCCGGAAAAAAAACAAAGACGACAAGAGATTTGCTTGCCCTGTTGCACGGACCACACGGAAAAACAAAAAAAAACTCCGACAAATCCAACTCCCTTTGCAAGACCTGGACCCACCACCCAAGTCTCTCTCCACCACCCAGCTCGGCCCAGAAATCGATTCCTCGAGGCCAGGCTTCAGACCCCGAACCGCCGAAGAGTTCACTCTTGCGGCTCAGTGGCTCGAACTCTTGCGGCTCCACGCGCTTCCCCGCTTCCAACTTGTTGCTGAACTTGGCGCGGATCTTCGCCACCTGTGAGGAGAAACAACCGCAACAAATAAGATTGTCTATATTATATACACCCTGGAAGACTAACATGGACCCTGAAAACCCCTGGAAGACTAGAGGGAAAACCACTCTTCCAGAGGGCCAGACAGTCAGGGTCTATGTGAGTTTTCGGAGTGTAGAGCCTAGGCCTAGAAGAGCACAACCAAAAACATCAACAACTAGTTCGCCAGCTGTGAGGAACGATCCAGGCGGAGTGAAGACGCACGCTGGCTTCGCCACGCATCTGCGGAAGTCTGGAGATGTGGACCGATGATGGCAAGCTCTCTCTGTTAGGCCATGGATGATTGAGAGGAAAGGGTCATGAACTTCTAATTTGTGGCCTTTCCCATGGGTTTCATGCGAATTTGCTCCACCCCAGGACCTTCCAAGAGGTGCCTATATAGATAGCCTCCAAAAAACCACTTGCTTTCTCCTTCATATCCTTTCACGTCACCGCCTGCTGGTCCGAAAGCCCTGCAGACTGTCGCAGCTTCTTGACCTCGTTGAGCAGCGAGGAAGACAGGCGACCGTCCTGTCTTGGTCTGTGGAATAGGGACGTTCATGTGTGAAGCCCGATCATGCCAGTTACAGTAGTGCATGGATATGAATTAGTGAGTGTGGGCCATAAAGTCCTGTTACTCTGTGAGCCATACATGCGTGAAAACTGCGAACATGACACCTAGTTGGACCTCCTAAGCATAACGACCGTGGGGAGGGCATTTTGAGGTCACAATCTTCCCAATCTTCCACCATACTGATTCAACGAGATTCACTGACTAGTTTTACAATAATGACTGTGTGATACTGTGCGTAAAAACATCCGCAGCCCCTCTATGCACCAATAAAAGCACACTAAACCCCTCTGGAATTTGGGACCCATCTGGGTCCTTATCCAACGCCCAACGGTTGAACTAAACATTCACAAACTAAAGGGAAATGACCTTCCACAGGGCCAATTTCCACTTCCACAATCTGAGTTCCAGGGGGTGTAAACCAACGATGATGGCTGTTCAATCTCTTCCCAAAGCATCAGCCCCAAGGGGTTTCGCCCTGTTTCCCAGCCGCTCAGGCTTCGGACTTGGCTTTCCTCGGGGTTCGTGCAGCAGCGGACGCAGTCGCGGATGCGAGTGGCATGTTGGAACTCCGCGCGAGGCATACAGGGCCCCTGAGGCCTTTACAAACCTCGCCCCAAGAAAGCAG